GCGAGATGTTCTCAAACTCCAAGCATTTGTGAAAAAAAAATGAGTTACAAGCTATTTTACTCAAGCAGTGAGGGTATCTCTCTGCTGCTTTTATGACAGTGGAGTAAGGGTTCTGGGTTTCCAGAATTGGTGGGGGGTGGGAAAGAATAGTCCAGATTACAATTATGTACCCAGTTGAATCATCTTTTCGAGCCTGATCTTTTCCTTCCGCTGATGTATTTATCATTTAAGATGTGGGGGGGCAGTTGGTAACAACCTGTAGCTGACATGTCCTTAGCTGTGACCCTAGAAAACCATCTCTGATATAAACAGTCTCCTCCTGCTGCAATGGTGCATAAGACTTGACTTTGCGACACATGTGTCTAGCTTAGTATCTGCTCTGGACCATGAGCTAGACCAGGTGGGGATTCTCAGGTCTGGGGTGCTGAAGGAGAGATGCAAGCTATACCTGGGCAGTAGAGCGTGCTGGCTGGTCATCTCAAAGAAAGAGCAGAGAAACATGGCAAAAGAGTAAAAGAACACCTGGAGTGAGTGATTGAGGCCTTGCAAGACTTCCTTGTCTTTGTTTTCATGATGAGTATGGATGAAAATCTGGGTTATTTAGAGCCCAAATAAAAGAATACAAATAACAGAGGCAGCATTTATGATTCATGAAATATAAAGACTAGCATATTCAAAAATTAGAGTTAGGACAGTTGTTTTCCTTAAGGAAAAAAATAAAGGTGAATACCTGCCTCCCACCATCGGAAAAAAAGTTTCCAGTAAGAGAGCCCCAGTCCCATGGTGGCTCTACCAGAGCCACTGTCTTTTTCAGAGGTTCCCCACAAACCATTTATTTGGACCCCCCTTGGTCTCAACTCAACTCCCCAGTGGCAGGCACGCCTATGCCGACTGTTTCTACCACTGAATCATTTGTATCAAGTCTGCTCTCTGGAACATATTAGAAGCCAGAAAATATTGCCCGAATACACAATTTCAAAGACTCTAAAAGAAAAACTTTACTCTCTAACAGGGATGTGCATTGTTCTTTATATGTCACTAGTAATAGAATAGATTGTCATCTACCCAGAATTATTTGGATACTGGCCTAAAAGCAGGAGAAAACTGAGTGGAGATCTCTTAGTGAGATCAGCCTTGTTCTTCTTGAAATCTAATTGAAAGCTATTTGGAAATATTACCCATACTTTGAGAGAAATTGGGACATCCCAAAATATTATTAAACCATATTTTAACTGTGGCCATGACTGTCTCCTTCATTTATGAAGCGCCTACTTAATGTAGAAATGCAATCTGACACAAGGGTTTTCCTCTGTTTTGGTTAAGTTATAACATACACATAGTAAATGTCACCAATTTAAAGAGCGCCATTCGATGAATGTGGCATTTCTCTTCAAGTGTAATCACCACCGTAGTTAAGATCCAGAATGATTCTCGCCCTACAAAGTCTCCTGGGCCCCTCTATACTCCTTCGCCAGCCCTGCCTCCAGCCTCAGGCAACCACTGATCTATCTGTTCAGTGTCCAATACTTAACTAAAATTAAAATAATCATAATTGTTGAGTCAGGCATTTTTAAATAATGCTTTGGCCAAAGGATGTAAAAGAGGCATGAGGATGACGAAGAAATTGGTAACCTCGCTAGCCAGGTGCCAGGTCTGAGTTCCCTCTGAGAATAGGGTGAGAGAATGCAGGAGTTCAGAGACAAGATAGCCCAAGAATTTTTTACAAATGACCCATTTTTACAAATGAGACATTTTTATGATTCCAGAAAGGGAACACAAATGCCAGCATAAATTGCTAGGATGTAAATCCAACAAGTGGGTTTCCAATCACAGATCTGGATTCATTTTCAATCTGATGTCTGAAAGAGCCCCTGGGTCATCAGACTCATCTCAGAAGATATAAGTGATGATGCCTCTGGAATAAGAAGCGTTCTAGTAAATATGGGACTTATGGCACAGAGGATGTTTGCTTCCTCGGAGGCTGTTAGTTAAAAAGACCAAAAGACCTGTGTCTGTGATTCCCACCAAGATTTATTAGCCCAAACTGAAACACAGGAATGGTGGTCTGTCTATGAGAAACTAAAAACGGGAAAGACAAGAACATGAGATTAGGGGGTTATAGGGAGCTGCATGGAGAGGAAACTTTCTGCCTGCACACGAGCAACGGGCACTGGGCACTGTCTGGGCTTTGAGGCTACTTCTGAAAAAGACAGTCATGTCCTGTTCAGGGGTGAACAAACACCACAGTCCTCTGAGTCAGAGACTAGAAAGGGGGTGCATATAAAGCAGGTCAGGCTGACGGAGGGGCAGACGGGAGGAGCACTTCAGGGGACTGGTCAAGGAAAGCCACTCAGGAGGTGACCTTTGGGCTGAGACTGGAATGACTAAAAAGAGCCAGTTCTGGCTGGAGAAGGAGCAAGTTAGAATCAGGACCAGCACGTGCAAAGGCCCTGAGGGTGAGAAAGAGTTTGGTGTCCAAAAAGGATAGCCCAGGTGGCCTGAGCACAGTGACTGAGGCAGAGAGGGGATGAGTTGAGGTCCGAGAGATAAGCGTTGCCCTCAAAAATGCAAACCTGAGCCATTTGACTTAGGAAGGCAGCTGTGCCATGCCCTGGAGCTCTGAGAGATTGTCACTGCCAGCAGTGGCAGTCACTGGGAACACTTCAGGTTGCAAAGTCACTTCTTACTTACTGAGGACTGACCCTATTAAGAATTGGCAGGGAAGGTGGAGTTATTCTAGGCCAGCCCCTCTTTTTATAAATGAAGGAACAGAGGCCCAAAGAGGGTAAAGGTCTTACCTGATAAGCCGGGGGAAATTGCAGTTCATTATCACAGGTGAAGGGATCAATTTCCTCACTGTGTAAAGAGCTGCTGGCCAGAGGGCCGAGCAGAGTGAATGAGAGTGAGCGAGGAGAGGGGTCCACAGGTGGACCTAAGTCCAAGTGTTTCACACGCAGCTGCTGGGAACACAGTGAGCTCAGCCACTGCTGGGAAGAGAGTGTGCTGGGCTCTCCCGCGGGCCGGAAGTCCTGCAGAATGAAGGCAAGTGGCTTGTCAAATGCTGGAAAGGAATCAGCTGTGCTTGGGTAGTAGCTGGTGGTCTATCTAAACAACGGAATACTGCTCAATAATAAAAAGGAACAAATGACTGATGACTGATTCCCGCAGTCCTGTGGATGACTCTCACACAAATGCTGAGAAAGAAGCCAGAACAAAAGAACTTGCTGGAGGAGTCCTTGTAGATGAAGGTCTAGACCAAGCAAAAAATAACTGATGGTTTCCTGGGGCCAGGAGTGTAGATGGCCTGCGAAGGGGCTTTTGTGGAACTTTGGGGGTGATGCTTTTGTGTGTGTGTCTTGATTGTGGTGATCATGTGTGTCTACACTTGCTGAAACTCTTAAAATGTGTGTGTCCTTTTTGATGTTGATTATACCTCAGTGAAGTTGATTGCAATTTAATCTTTTAAAGGAGGGGACACGCCTCCCTGGTGGCACAAGGGGTTAAGTCTCAGCACCATGAAGCTATCACCAGCCACTCCAGCATGAGTTCGATCCCCGAGTTCTATCCCCAGCCAGGGAGCTAGCCCACATGGCACAGCAGACCTCTCCTGTCTCACCTGCTGCTCCCCTCAGCAGTGTATTTCAGTAGATCCACCTGTTCTGTTCCCCACTCTGTCTCTGGTGAATCCTCTCTCACACACACCCGCACCTCTGGCCTGTACTCCAGCTCTTGTATGCATAAAAAATAAATCTTTAAAAAAAATATATAGGAGGGCCTCCCCGGTGGTGCAGCGGTTGAGCGCTGGGTTGCAAAGTTGCCCGCAGCCTCTGCAGCGCCGGTTTGATCCCCAGCTGCTCCCCGGCCACCGGAGGAGGGTCCCACATGGCACACAGACCTCTCTTGCCGCCTGCTGCTCCCCTCAGCAGTGTACTTTGGTCCTTCTGCCTGCTCTGCTTCCCGCTCTGGCTCTGGTGTATTCTCTCACCCTCCCGTGCTTCTGACTGTACCCAGTGCTTGTATAAATAAATAAATAAATAAATAAATAAATAAATAAATAAACAAACAAACAAATAAATAAATAAATAAATCTTTTAAAAAAAAAAAAATATATATATATAGGAGGGGAAAAAGCTTATCTAAAAAGCAAAGAAAGGTTTTTGGTTGGCTTGCTATTTGTCCGTTGAATGCTCTTACGTACCTGCACCTAAAAGGTACCAACCAGGGAAGAGAGGCACTGCTTCCGGCCTCTCTCTGTGAACCCCAGGTTCCCTCCACCAACCCATTTACAGATGACCATGCCCATATCCACTGGTCCCAGCCATCAGCTGCCTGTAAACCCACAATCAGAACCTGAATGAAGGGAAGGGAAGGCTTAAAAATCAAGAAAGCAAAGGGAATGGGCAGGAAATCAGGCCCCATCCCAACCCTACACACACCGCTGTTTAATAACCAGCCCCATTTGGCGGGCTTGGTACTGTTGGTTCCTTCAGATAATTTTGCTGGACCCCAGTCTGAAGTATCAGCATTGTTTTGCTCTTCCTTTCCAGTTTCATGGGCACAGTGCATTTCTATCTAATTTCTGCAGAGGTTGCCTGGCCTCCATTGTACACTACAGCATGTGTATGCATGCACTGGGCCTATGAGAACATGCAGGGCTGAAGGCAGCAGCTATTTGCAGATAAACATGTTCCTGCAAAGAGACAGCATCTGTGTCATGGACTTTGGTCTGTGGTCAAATGGGAAGGAGGTGGCTAGTTAATGCTGCACAGATGGGGCATCTGAAAACATGCTGCTTGAAACTTCCAAGATATGGGACACTATTTTTATCTCTTAGAAAAAACGAAAACAAAAGACATGTTGTTGCATCATCCCCCTTTCAGACCAGGAGGGAAGGAATGCAGGTATTAACAGGAGCTCCTCCCTGCAGCAGCTCTGGGGGCCAACTGCAGACTTGCAGACCTAAATCAGCCAGCTCACTTCATTTTTCTTCCTCCCTTTAGAAACTTTTGAGATTTCTCTGCCACAAGGAAGCGGCATTTTAGTTCACATAAAGCTCGGAAACACAGAGGTGCCAGCCATGTCCTGTTACATCATAACTACTAATTCAAGAAGCTCTACCATATTATTCATCAAAGATGGAGAAAGTAAAACCTTTCACTTTAGTTGCCGTCATCCAGAAAATCACTTCGTCATGGAGATCCAGAAGAATATCGGTAAGTCCGTGCTAAACCAGCCTCTCGTGCCAGCGAGGCTTGCAAGCTCTGTGCTGCACCCTGCTCCCTGTTTAGTCCTTATGTGGCCACTTATGATTCCAAGTGTTTTACATGGTTAAATTGTTTAATCCCTAAATTAGCCCTTGGAGAGTTTCACAAAGCACTTGCCTAAGATGACACAACTGGCAAATAGCAGCAGGACAGAAAGCCAGGTCCTTGGGTTCCTGGACCTTGGCCTGTGCCCATTGGGGCGCTCTGTCTGAAGTGCTAAAGGCGTCAGGCTGATGACGAGCGAAAGTCAAAGGAGGTGGAGGACAAAAGAAATGGAAGGCTGGGAAGGTGGCGGGAACGGACATAAGAGAGCTTTGGAGATGAGGAACTAGGTTTGGCCTGAGTTCTGGGGCTAAGGATCACATGACCTGATGATGTGTCTTCCTCTGACTGAACTGCTTTGTGACTTAGTTTTCTGTCTGTAAAAGAAAAAGAGTCAGTGTATCAACCAATAGAGTTGTTATGAGGTTGAAATAAAATAGTACATTGAAAAAGTGGGGTATATGTGAACAAACTTTAGATATTTGGCATTATAATTATAATTTGAGCTTGGGGTAAGGGATTAACATGGGAAATAATAGTCAGGTAGAAAAATTTAAATGTATAATTTCCCAATCATTTCAAGGCGGGCATGCAAAATAGGAATTAATTATTAGGCATATTAACAATGGTTATGTCATCTAATCAAAACCATACTCAGTAAATATCTTAGCTTTTAACTGAAAAAATAAGAATTAGGCAATAGATCAAGAAGCAATAAAAAGAGACTGTTTGATAAGTATAGCTAAGACCCAATTATCTGCAAATACCAATTAAATAGATAAATCTCTGACTAGTGTCTTGGAAAAAACAAAAAAAAACAAGTATACAAGATTGGAAGAATAGATTTTGATTTAATGGTATATACAAAGGTGGTTTCTAAAACTGCAAGAGACTATTATAATAATAGATGTGAAAATATAAATGAAATAGATGATTTTCAGGGAAAATTTATTTGGCCAGATTGGTTCATAAAAAGGAAACCTGAATAAATAAATAAGGAGGAGTATGAAAAATAACCAAGATGGAGGAGAGCAGGGTTTGGCTTCATTGAGGAGTCCTATAAAACTTCAGAAAGCAGATGATTTCTATGATATTAAACCACTCTAGAGAAAGATTGACGAAGTTTTTCTGGAAAAGGCCAGATAATAAATATCTTCAGCACTGTGGGCCAGATGGACTCTGTGAGCACTGCTTAATCTGAAGTTAGAGCACAAAATCAGCCATGACATTAGGTAAACAAAAGAACAATGAATGTTCCAGTGAAACTTTATTTACAGTAAGAGGGTTTGATTGGATTGGGCCCATGGCTGGTTTGCTGATCCCTGTTCTAGAACATAGAAAGAAACATATAGAGCATACAGAGTTCATTTTACAAGACTTTTACAACCCTGGTGTCAAAATCTGCGAAAACATTAAAAACAAAGCCCATAGACCAATCTATTATGAATATACATGCGAAAAATCCTAAATATACATACAATTTAAGTATTTCAAGTACTGAAAGACAAAAGAAAAGATGAAAATAAATGAAGAGATACACCATGTTCCTTGATGAAAATCTCAGTATCTTAAAAGTGTCACTTCTCCCCCATTAATTTAGGAGTTTCAGTCGATTATAATTAAAATTTCAGTGAAACTTTTAGAGCAGAGACTATTGACATGCTTAGGAATTCAATGGGCTGGTGTGTTGTTGTTAAAGAACAAAGTCAATCTGTGTGTTTGACATGGAAGGATACCCAATTTGTCCCTCTGACAACACCGCAGTTTAAAATAGGAGAGTAGTTTATATAGTTCAGTCCCACTTGATTAAATAAGCACATGTGATCCTACAGAACCCAAAGTCTGGTGGGATAAACACCAACATGCTTACAACCACATGCTTACAACAACCTTGCATTATTTCCATAGGGGGCTGGGGAAGCTAGCAGGCAACATTCATTTTCTCCTTCCTGTTCTTCTGCTGTCCTGTTTTTAACAAGCACACCTTACCTGGATAATCACTTAAATCAATAGCTGACTGCTGTTTTGGAAGAGAAGAACAGTAACAAGTAACACACAACAACCTCCCCCCCACCCCCCAGGCAAGTCTCTCAATCCTAGGAAACCACACACCATTTACTACGTAGTAAATACCCATTGTTTTCAAAACATAATTTTGGAAAATGATACCAAAACATGACTTCCTGAAAGAATGACTCTGGATACAGGCCCAGGGTTCTGCCTGCCCCTCGTTGTTATACCTTTCAAGCTTTGACCCCTCTGTTGTTGAAATAGTCCCACCGAAGTGAATGAATGCAGTCTGTGGAAAATGGGTTGTGACTCACTTCAGGAGTAGCTCATCTCCAACCTCTGGCTAGGAGTCACTTTAATTATTTAACATTCCTGCACAGGATGGGGCTAGTAGAAGGCTTGGAGGCACCCCGATCGCCTCGCTGTTGTACCTGTGTGTCCAACCTAAAAACTGTAACTCTCAGCAACAGAATACAAAGCACTTTCCTACCTGACTCTCCCAGTGTCATCACTGGTGGCAGAACCCAGGTGGGGAGATGGGGCTTTTTGACCCCAGTTCTTGGTATGGAATAAGATCAGACTCGCTCGGAGGGCTCCGGCAGGTGTGTTTTGAAAACGCCCTCCAAGTGAGTCTGGTGAGGAGCCGGAGCCCGGAATCTCCACCTCACTAGGGCTAGCCCATGCCAAGAGAGCTCACCCAGCGGGAGCCGCACCCTGTGATCCTGGGCACACAGGACGCACAGGTAGAAAGCTCTGAGGCCAACTTTGGAAGCAAAAGAGGTGGCTTGAGGTGAACAGTGAAGTTTCCATGACTCCTAAAAATAGATACTTTCTTGGGCCTCCCCTGGTGGCGCAGCGGTTGAGCGCTGGGCTGCGAAGCTGCCCGCAGCCTCTGCAGTGCCGGTTTGATCCCCGGCTGCCAGGCGAGGGTCCCACATGGCGCGCAGACCTCTCCTGCCGCCCGCTGCTCCCCTCAGCAGTGTACTTCGGTCCTTCTGCCCGTTCTGCTCCCCACTCTGGCTCTGGTGAATCTTCTCACCCTCCCACGCTTCTGACTGCACCCAGTGCTTGTATAAATAAATAAATATATCTTTAAAAATAAAAAATAGATACTTTCTTTACTGAGACACCACGCTTTTTATCTGTACTCATCGCCTTGTTATCTGACACTGTCTTGTTGGTTAGATGGTGCAGTGTGTTAGCAAAAACTCAGGTTGACCTAACACAGCCTGGACTTGTGTCCTGGGATTGTCCTGCACCCTGACTCCAGGGCTGCTTGCAAAATGAGAGGTTTGGTGTGGATAACCTGAGAGGTCCTAGGCAGCTCTGAAATTCTTCCTTAATCCCCTTTCGAAAAGACAATTATTTCAAATACCCGAATAGATAGCATGATGGCGACGCACCAGACCCCACAGCACCTCTCAGACTCCCGATGGTCAACACCAGGAAAGACGTGCCCTGCCCGCTACTGCTTTCTTCCATCTGCTTTCCTCTTGCTTCCTCCTTGACAGCAGTGTTTCTCACTTTGTTTTCAAAGGCTTCAAAAACAAAGCACATCAAAGGATGTCATTAATTATTAGCCTTTAAAAGAATCAACTGCTGTGGTAATAAAATACCAGCATTTGAGCCATGGGGCAGGAAGATAATTGTGCCCATGAGTTCCACACACAGGAGGTTGTAGATTCAGAACTAGCTTCGAATGCTAACGAGTGTGCTGACGGAAAAACCAGTTTACAAGGTGGAGCTTGGCACTGTGCCCTAAAAATTACGAAACCATCGCTCAATTAGCAGAGGGGCAGTTAACTATCCCAAAGCACAAGCTCTACTGCAAATGCCCCCTCTCGGCTTCCAGTAAGACCCAGACACAGGCCCACACCTGGATTCCAGTAGCTTCACCTGGAAAATGCAGTCGTTAGGAGGTATCTAGGGTCTGGTTCCCTGGAAGCGGAGCCTGACATGGGGGGTTTTTGTTTAGGTCACTTCTGAGAGTGCCCCCAGAAGCAACCTGTGAAGGAGAAACAGATGTCTTTCTAGCTGAAGTGTAGCCTCAGGCTGTTTCTGGGGTAGGGATGGCATTGGAGTTGTGTCATTTGAATCAAGGAAGTCAGACTTTCTCTCCTGCACTGGGCAGTGAATGGCTGTGGACCATTGCTCCCCTTGGGATGGGAATGAGGGGGCAGCCAAGCCTCTCGTCTCTGGTTCCAAGCAGCTCTCTCTGCAGAGGCACTTCCCTAGGGAAGGGAGCATCTGTGAGCCTTCAGCCACCAACACCCACCCAATCAGGGGATGGGCGCACCCACCTGGTGAAGCCCCCAAAGAGTCTAGTGCGGTTGCTGAGGGGCAGTGAGTGGCTGGGTGACGATCCTGACCAAGACTGCTTTTGTGACTGTATTTCAGACTGCATGTCCGGCCTGTGTCCTTTTGGGGAGGTTCGGCTTCAGCCCCCGACATCAATGCTTCCCACAATCAACAGAACTTTCATCTGGGATGTCAAAGCTCATAAAAGGATCGGTCTAGAGCTACAGTTCTCCCATCCTCGCCTGAGGCAGGTTGAGCCTGAGGAAAGCTGCCCGGATGGAGTCACTCACTCCATCAGTGGCCGCATCCATCAGACACCATCAAACACCATCGAGGTCAAGATCGGGACCTTCTGCAGCAATGGCACCGTGTCCCGGATCAAGATGCAAGAAGGAGTGAAGATGGCCTTGCACCTGCCATGGTTCATCCACAGAAACACCTCCGGCTTCAGCATTGCAAACCGGTCGTCTATAAAACGTGAGTGCCCCATCCCTCTCCCTCCCCTTTGTTTTGCTGAGGTTGAAACATACAAAATCACCAATATTCTAGGTCAGAACTGGTGAGATGTCAGCAATTTTGTGTGATTCAACCTGAGTACCTTCAAGGAAGAGTCCACTCTCCTGTAAGCAACAAGGGCCCCTCACTGCTCTAGTGAACCCACTCTTGTCTATTATGCAAGCTGGTGGTCATTCTCTCTCGTTTTTTCTTTGTGCCTGTGAGGTTTGTTTGCAAGGAAGAAAGTGGAATTCGGTCTGCACACCTGTTCTGACTGCTCCGCTTCGAATTTCTTTGTCCTCTCTTCTACCCCTTTCCCGTGTCCTGTAATTGTATCTGTGATGTACTGGAGCTGCCCACGTCAGCCCATGAGAGGAAATTGCTCAATGTTCAGGAGTTTGGGGAGTCAGTGTTAAGCAGAGCAGTTAATAACAATAAAATTACATAGACTTACAACTAAGGAAATTGATTTAGAAACAAAAGTAATAAATATTCAAAACTCATGACTTCCTAATTATTATACCACATTTTACTATGAGCTATGCACTTGAGGTTTAGTTGACTCTGTCTGGTGGATATACTATATGATGGTGTATTCTCCCCCCAACTTTGGCTTTTTTTTTTAAAGATTTATTTATTTATGCATACAAGAACTGGGGTACAGGCCAGAGGTGCAGGGAGTAAGAGGATTTACCAGTGACAGAGTGGGGAACAGAATAGTTGGATTGACCAAAATACACTGCTGAGGGGAGCAGCGGGTGAGACAGGAGAGGTCTGCTGCACCATGTGGGTAGCTCCTGGGCGGGGATCGAACTCCTGCTGCAGTGGCTGCGGACAGCTTTATAGATTGTGTCTTAACCCCTGGCATCACCAGGGAGGCCCCCAACTTCAGCTTTAGCCCCCGAGTATTTACACCAAGGAAATGGGCAGACACTACAAATTGGGAATTTTTTTTCCTCTGCTGAGTCTGTTATTAAGCATTTACCCACAAACACCAATGTCCCTTCATCCTGCCACAATCATACTCCCCGCCCAGGCCCTGAGCACCTCCCTCACTTCTCTAGCCCCCAGCCCTTCAGTGTGGACAACCGGTCTAGTTGCCTCCTTTTGTTTCTCATTTGAGTTCTGCTCCCGATAGGACTGTGCATCATCGAATCTGTGTTTGAGGGCGAAGGCTCAGCCACCCTGATGTCAGCCAACTACCCAGGTGGCTTCCCTGAAGATGAGCTCATGACGTGGCAGTTTGTCATTCCCGCACCATTGCGGGCCAGCGTCTCCTTCCTCAACTTCAATGTCTCCAACTGTGAGAAGAAGGAGGAGCGGGTGGAGTACTACATCCCAGGCTCCACCACCAACCCTGAGGTGTTCAAGCTGGAGGACAAGCAGCCTGGGAACATGGCTGGGAACTTCAACCTCTCTCTGCAGGGCTGTGACCAAGATGCCCAAAATCCAGGGATCCTCCGGCTGAGATTTCAAGTCTTGGTCCAGCATCCACAGAATGAAAGCAGTAAGTGAGCCCTGCTTTTCTTCCTCTCCACCCCAACACCTTCTTTCCTACCTGGCGAGTCCGCTTGGGGTGAGGCTTTCTTCCTATTTCTCATCGCTGGCTTCTGGAACACTGGACTCTGGATCCTGTGAGTTTCAGGAAGTGCTTTGCTAGGCAGTACAGACTCAGTGGCAAACGCCTGGCATGCCTCTCCATTTCAGCACAAGATACAAACAAACTTGCATTCTAAGTGCTGAAATGTCTTTAATAGAGGTATTGAAAGGTTTCCTTCTGGGTCTCATTTCTTGACCCTAAATGTAAACGAGGATGTCACCAACACCCACAGCAACACCCACAGTGGTAACTTACACTGTTTTGTTGGCTGAGTGCCCCATACCACGGACACACTCTCTTGAGTGCCAAGCCCTGCCCCAAGCATACCAGTTACGTGATCTCAGCGAATCCTTATTACAAATCAGGGGTGAGAGGAGAGGAATTATATTCACTTACTGATGAGAAACCAGAAGGTTCAGAGAGTTTATAGAAGCAGCCCAGTATCACACAGCTTGTCAGGAGCACAGCAAACTCAGAACCCAGAGTCTGTGTGTGGATCACACTGAACCCCGGGTGGGTTCCTGAGCATTAGTTTGCACATCATTCCACACACATTTACTCAGATGCCATGACCCTCCAGAAGGGAGGCAGGGCCAAGGGCCAGGGTGAGGAAGAGGGCCCAGAGGACAGCATTTAAGGAGGCTCCCTCTCTGAGGGCCCATTCTCAGGGGGATGTGCATACAAGGTGGGTGTGCTTGCCCAGAGAGCAAGCCCCTCCTTAAACTTTGCTCCCTGGGTACCTCACTTGCCTCACCAGTCTGCACCCTGACGGGAGAGGTGTGCATCTTGAGATGAAAACTACAAGGTGAGTTTAGAGTGAAGGTCCCAGAGGCTCGCCTGTGAAGGCTGGAGTATGACAAGTCGTCTTGAACTGAGCCATTCTGACGTTTGCCAAGGGTAGGTTTGGTCCAGAGGACTGCTTCTCACCCTTGTTTTTATTATGATTTATTTCTGGAGAGCAGGCAGAGCCAGGCAGAAAAATCAAGTGGGAGTGTGAAATGGCATGCAGTTCATTTTGGTAGAGCTGATAAACATCTGAAAAGTGGTAGTGAGGGGTCACCCGAGAGGTTGCCCAACTGGTTATTGCCTTGGGGATGCCCCCTGGGAGCCTAGCTCCTCCGAAGCTGGGGACCCACCCATGTCTTAACCCAAGATCCCTCCTAATTCACAAGTAACTACATGAATTGGCGCGTATGTGTGTCCATTGTGTCCATTTTTAGGGTTCCTCTATCACAATTTTATAGTCAGAATGCTGAAAACAGCCATGAAAGAATTTAGAAATGGAGTGGGTTTGAGTTTTGGATGATAGAGAGGTTTGTTTATCATCTCAGTCATGGTGAATGTTACTGATTAATCCTATTTCCTGCAACATCAGCTGGGTTGATTTCTGAAACTAAATAAACTGCTAGACGTGCTGTGACAGCATCAAGAAAGGTATGGCTTTAGTCTTGAGGTAAATAAAGAGTGATTTGGATGTGTTTAGCAGTGTAGAGGTCTTTGTATAAAATAGGGGTTACCTTTTTCTAGGGGAGTGAAAGGACTTGACCAGCAAGAATGTCTTTGGGGATAATATTAGACTGAACTAGACTCCCTGAGAGCTCTAATCTTCTGGACAGCCCCATTATGTCCTTTGAACCCTGATGTGGACCCTAAATGTCAAGGGATTGCACACAACAGTGAGTCCTGTGTACCCACATGTTTGTCTGATCCATTCCTAACTATCCTGCATTCAACAAGTATCTGTGGGCTACGTAGCCCCAGGTTAAGAGCACCTACTCTGAAGTCAGCCTGCATGGATTTGAATCCTGGCCCCCTGCTTACTGGGTGACCATGGGCAAGTCACTCAACTTGTGTGTCTCAATCCCTCATCTATAATGGAAATGACAGGACTTGAGGAGGTGTCCTGAAGCAGAGATGGCCCAGTGCCAGGCAGGTAGTAAACACCCATTAAATGTATCCTGCCCCATAATGAACTCTCTTCCTGTCTTTTTTGATAATATGGTTCTATCACATCCTACCTGGTATTAATTGCCTCTTGTTGCCTATAGATTTGAAAAATAATTTTGGTCATCTTTGAGTTTTATCCATCACAATTGAGAGAGAGAGTCTCTATTATGTTTTTCCTTTAATAAAATAATTTGGGGGAGGTTCAAGGGTCGCTGCTGATAGTGATCCTAAGAATTACCATTGTTACCAATCTCTGGTATTCCCTTTGGCAGGAGCAGACTGCCAATCTTGCTCTAAAAGTACCAGACTAGGGTCTTCAGAACCCTGGGCTTATGGGTTCTCAAGATTCAAACAAGGTAGCCAGACGTGACTTTCTTCCTGCACGACAGTGCTTGTGCAAGCGGTCACTTGCATCCTGTTTAGCTTTTACAAGGCATTTGGGGCCCTTAACTGAATGTCGGCTTTGGTTTTCGTTGCTTTGTGAATCTTAACTTTGCCCTGATGAACTTCATATATATTTGAGCCCATTTTTATGTTAAAGTTCAAAATCTCATTCTATAGATACCACAGAAAAATGACTAGGAACCTTGGTGAGACTCACTCAGTAACCTTATCCCTTCGAAGTTTCCCGGTGTTGATAAATATCAAACAGTAAGAAGTTCTGTGTGCTTGTGTGTGTGTGTGTGTGTGTGTGTGTCTGTGTCTGTCTGGGGAAGGGGAGGAGGTGTTACTTAGAAACCTCAGAGTCCCGTGGTTTTTCCATGAAGGACATCTGCAGTGTTGAGAAGAAATCCATGGTTCTTCTGCAGCAGGAAACCATTCAAGTCACAGAGCTGCCCATTCATGTGTGGCCTTGGACAGTCCACTGGGACCTCTGCACGGTCTCCACTTCTCAGCTGTGAGATGGCAATGGCCGCGCCCTGTGTGCTCTCTGTTGTGAGGCTGGGTGAGGCTGCTTTCAGGGTGCATTGAAGACACTGAGTAACAAGGTCTTGTCTTTCCACAGGTTTAGGAGTTACTGGGTGGCCCAACTTTGAAAGGCCGCCCTCTGGGAGAGGGAAGGCTGCACATTTCCATCCTGTGAAAGCCACCTGTGAAAATACCCCATAGGCAGACTGTAGATTGCCTGTGTCTCCAAGTTATTTTGAGATCCCGCCATGAGAGGCTAATGGGCGAAATGTGCACACAAATGAGGAAGTTCAACACAGTGTGTTATTAGTGGGAGCCAGGGGCCTGCAGACACTCCCTGAGATGGCAGCATGCCCTGCTCCCGAATCACAGTTGTTTGTCTCAACAAATTATACTCTCTGTTTTGGTTTAACTGCTGGATGTCTCATCACCATCCACCTGATTATTATACAGTAGTTTTCAAAGGAAATTAAACTGTAAAACCACAGCACCATTTCACCACTCACACCCACCACGATAGCTAAAATAATAAAGGCCAGGACACTGAATGATGGTGAGGATGTGGAGCAAAGGAATCGTCATACATTGCTGGCCCATAAGATGCAAATGTCTAGGAAAACTCTGGCAATTTCTTATAAGTTAAACTTATACCTACATGTGGTCCAGAAATTTCACTCCAAGAGAAATGAGGCCATACATCTACTCAAAGACTTATAAAATGATATGTCTGGCAGTCTTATCCATAAAAGTAAAAAACTGAAAACAAACTAACTCTCCATCAATAGAAAAACAGACAGACAAATATGGTATAGTCATCCTATGGAATACTACGCAGTAATAACAAGGAAAAAGCGACTGATGATGCTCACCATCTTACGGAGCACAGGACAGCCCCACAACAAAAAGTAATCCTGTTCAAAATGTCAACAGGGCTGAGGATGTGAAACTCTGCTTTCAACTGTGTATATCGTTAAAAGTTTGAAAACACAGAAATGAGGGAGAGGGAGGAAGTAGGGAGATGCTGCTGTGTGTGATTAGATCTTGACAAAAGTGAGCACAGGTTACAGAAACAGGGGTCTCTAACACAGCCAGGGGCAGGGGTGGGAGAGCTTCCTGGAGGTAACCGTGAAGATGAGTTTTAAAGCACAGTAGGAAAATGACATGAATATGGGGCCAGAAGGTTGAAAAGCTAACCATTTTTCAAATCGAATCACATTTAAGTTAACAAAATCAAAATATATATGCTAGTTCTGGACATGACCTCTTTCTGATGAAAGCACTATTAGATATTATGGTGTAACTTTACATAGAAATAGACACTAATAAGAACTAAAGTAGAGTTAGCTGGTAGGACAACACTAAGACATCTCTTTAACTGTGCTTCAGATTTGACACCAAGCACCCTGGCAGCCAGTTCAAAAGGAACAATTCCATTAACTATGTGGTTCTTGTTACCAGGAAGGAAGAAGAGGGGAAACAGAACTTGCCCAGCTGGCATTCAACTTAACTTGCTGGAGCTGCAGGCAGGGGTGTAAGGGATTGATGAACATACAGGCAACAGCTTTCCTAATTTGATGACTTTCTGTAAAGCAGAATGAATGAAATTAAAAAGCAACTCAGTAAAAAGTAATCTCCAGGGGTACCTGGTGTGGAGCCTTTTGATGATGATGTGATATAGTGAAATGACTTCTTTATAAAGCAATCTGGTAATCTATTCCAAATAGTTGAATATATATATCCATTATTTCACCTAATCATCAGTCCTAGACTTTCTGTTGAGCTCGTAGATGAAACATGCACTTGTGCTTTTTTAATGATTTTTAAAGATTAAACAGTCTTTTATTTCTAATGGCAAAATCACAGAAATCAACTAAATGACCAATAATTAGGCAGCTCTTTGAATTACATAAGAAATATATGAGTATTTTCTTATTAAAAATTCTGGCATTTCACATGAAGCTAAAATCCCCCTGACCACCTAGAGTGTTCCTACCTTGAGCCTCTTTTCTTGGGGTAACCAATTGTAGATTTATTTCTCTCCAGATTTTTTTCTCTTCATTTACAAACATATGCACATGTAGAAATAGCTGTTTTATTTTACATAGAGATTTTGTAACCAAATGGTATCACACTTGTTTTTTTTTGCTTCATTTTTGGAGGTTCTTATGTGAATATGATTTTGCATCTCTTAACATTTCAATGATGAATTACTGCTTAAATAAGTAGTGGTAAATATTACTTGGCTGACTATTATTCATCACTAAGGTTAGTGAATATTTTAAAAGATTAGTGGGTGTGAAAACCACTAAATAAGTAAAATAATAAGCAAAATCAGTAAAACTATAAAATAATAAAGTAAAAACAGTATAAAAGCTTATTTACACTATTCTTTTCAGTAGATGAAAATATGCATATATGTGAACTAGGATTAAAATAAACTTAGGTAAACTTAGATAGTAGAAATGCAGCCTATTTTTTTAAGTCCTTTTAAAAGCTATTGTAATGTCTTAATAATAAAACTTTCTTCCCAACAATCCCCAGCGTAATGTCTGCCGTCTCACAGGGTCGCTGCAGATCCCCACTCATCACACCTGTTTTCCATTTGTGGTTCCAGATAAAACCTACGAGGTTGACCTGAGTAAAGAGCGGACCATGTCGGTTACCATCGAGCCCCGGCCCGTCAGGCTGAGCCGCAAGTTCGTGCCAGGCTGCTTTGTGTGTCTGGACTCTAGGACCTGCAGCACCAACATCACCCTGGCCCCTGGCTCCAAACACAAGATCTCCTTCCTCTGTGACGATCTGGCCCGCCTGTGGATGAACGTCGAGAAAACCCTAAGTATGCCCCACGGTTAGCGTGCTCCCCTCCTGCCTGCGTTTGTAGTGAGGGCCACTGGACAGGTTGCTAACAGTATGATCAGAAATGTCCCACAAGTGTAGGTCAGTGAACAAGAGCAACCAAGAGGCAGAGTGGGGTGCAGACTCACCCCCTTTAGGACATGCTCCCTTCAGAAGTGCAGTCCCCATGCCTGCGAGTCTCCTGTCCTCAAGTGAAATACCCTCCTCTGAGTAGCTGTCCCCATCCTGTCCTATCCACACTCAATGCCCGCCTGTCTTCTCTCACTTGGGACTGACTCTCAAGAGGGGGAACTTCAATAAGCATATAATAAATGGATAGCACTGTATCTTGCTAGGCCACCATGATCTCTGATGCTCTTAGAATCTGCAGATGCAGGAACTAAGCAAGGCCACCCCATTAGGAGGAAGTTACAGAGCTGGAACGTGAGCTGAAGTATCCCCAGTGACACGCCCTGCTCTAACCACCACACAGAACTGCCTTCCCACAGGCAGAAACTCTGGGCAACAGGTCTGCATGGAGAAACTACATCCTGCCCATGTGACACTTGCATCCAAGACACTGATACCCTGAGGAGTAACCTGAGCAAACAAGAAAAGAACATGTCAGCCCTAAATACCCTCGAACTCCATCCACTTGCTCAGTAGATAGTAAGAACAAGAGAGAGCAGGCAGGAATTTGGAAGAGAACATTGAGGACCCATGGGTGGAGGACAGAGTGGGAGGGAGTGACTGAGGGAAAGCCAGGAAGCTCCCAGAAAGCTGGCCAGCCTGGGTTTGCCATGGGGGCTGGGAGGGTGTGCTTCTACTCTCCCACTGCCTACCCGCTACTACCACGAGCCTCTGTTTTCCAGGCTGCCTGGACTACCGGTACTGCCTCAGGAAGTCCTACTCACTCCGGGTACCCCAGGACATCCTCCAGCTGCCTGTGCGGCTGCACGACTTCTCCTGGAAGCTGCTGGTACCCAAGGACAGCCTCAGCTTGGCGTTGGTGCCAGCTCAGAAGCTGCAGCAGCACACACAGGAGAGGGCCTGCAACACCAGCTTCAGCTACCAAGTGGCCAGCGCCGTCCCTGGCCAGAACCTGTATTTTGGCTCCTTCTGCTCTGGAGGTTCCATCGGGCAGATCCAGGTGAAGCAGAACATCTCTGTGACCCTCCGCACCTTTGCCGACAACTTCCAACAGGACATGTCCAGGCAGAACCTGACCGTGTCCCTTATACCACATTTCAAAGGTAAGGGGTCTTCCCTTCTCCCCCTCCCCCTTTTGCTTTTCTTGTTTGACCATCTTATTTTGGTTCTGTGACCCTCTTCATTAAGTCATCAATCTGCAGAGAAAAGACAGAGCTGACGGGCTGCTCCTCACACCAGAAACTTGGAAAGATGCTAAGTCCCCATCCTGATTTTACCTAGTGTGGAAAATTCCAGGAGTTAGAAGAAGAGAGACTCTTCTAACAGTGGGAGGCGGTGGTTGGTAGGCAGCAGAACAAATAATCAGGTTCGAGTCTTTTTTGGAAGCAGGCAGATCAGAAATGAGAAACAAGCCAAATATTCCCGAGTCCTGGATTTTCAGGGCAATAACATAAAAATTCTTAAGCAGACGTTTTTATGATTCTGCTTTGACAATTCAGAACACAGTGTGGCGAGCTTGGAAGACAGGACTGTGAGGGAGAGGCCTCTCGGAGCACCAGGGTTGTGACCCCCACCCCGCGAGCCGGTCCCCCTGGCAGGCTGGTCTTCACTCCTCTGAGGCAGGAAACCAGGTTGAAATAGGTCACTGCTGTGAACCTCAGCTGGTGGCTTGTAAAAGCTACTGTCACCATTCCAAGTTGCTCAAAAAACGTTACATTAGGTTAGAGGCCATTTTAAAATTGACCAAGACCTTTACCTGAGCTTTACTGGGTACTTTTGTCCTCAGAGGCCTGAGTGGGAGGACAAAGTATCTTAGGCCATGGGATTAAGATTGGTCCAGGCGGCCTAATATCACCAAGGTTACCAGAGAAGCCGTCTGGGGATACCAGCTTTGCAGGTCTAGAATTCTTTCTAGCACCCCAAGTGTTTTTAATGTCTGAAGCAGGAATCAGGCTATACCAGTCCCCCTCTCTGGTGGGGCATCAGCTGAGGGACATCTAAAAAGCAGATGAGATGACCACCATTTTGGTCAACTGGCCAGGCTTTGTTTTGTTTTCAATACCTGAGCATCTAATCTGACTTTAATCCTGCTGAGCAATGCAGGAGCCACTGGCCAGTGTAGCAATTTAAGTTTAAATTAATAGTAACAAAATTGAAAACTCAGTTCCCACAACACCAATACACTCAAGTCTCCCACAGACACTGGAGTGGCTATTCCATGGGACAGAGCAGCTCCAGAACATGCCCTTCTCCTCAGAAAGCTCTGCAGGGCAGCATTGGCCGAGTCCATTCATAAGTGTCTCCTTCACTGTTCCTTTTTCTCTCCACTTTGAGTAAAACAGTCGCTGTGGTTCTCTTCCTTTTCCTGCAGAGGACAGTGTTTTCATGGTGACCCCAGACACAAAGAACAAGGTCTACCTGAGGACCCCTAACTGGGACTGGGGCCTGCCATCACTCTCCTCCGTGTCCTGGAATATCAGCGTGCCCAGAGACCAGGTGGCCTGCCTGACCTTCCTCAAGGAGCGGACCGGGTTGGTCTGCAAGACAGGGCGGGCCTTCATGATCATTCAGGAGCAGCGGACACGTGCTGAGGAGATCTTCAGCCTGGAGGAGGAGATGCTCCCCAAGCCCACCTTCCGCCATCACAGCTTCTGGGTCAATATCTCCAACTGTAGCCCTGTGAGCGGCAAGCAGTTGGACCTGCTCTTTTGGGTGACACTTACCCCAAGGACTATAGGTAAGGGCCTTCAAGGTCTTTAGGGGATGGTGGAGGACAGCAGATTGGCAGCTGAAGGGTAAGAAGCAAGCCTGGGATATGAAGCAGAAACACTGATTGGAATCCTGGTTGTCTGTGTATCAGTCAGCTGTTGCATCGATGCTGCATAACAAAGCACTCTAGAATTCAATGACTTAGAAAGAGCTGTTTATTATTATATGTTGGCTGGGCAATCCTGGGCTGAACTGAGCTCATCAGGGTTCTTATTCATGCACCTGAGGGGCAGCTGCATGTTGGCTAAAGACTGGGGATCCTGACTGGGTGTTCTCACAGGCTGAGATCTAGCCAAGATCAGCTGGGATTACTGAACTCCCTTGGCTCTCCTCCATGTGGTCTCTTATTATTCTCACGGCCAAAGCAGAGACCCATGAGAGGAAGCCCACAAGGTCTCCTGGTGCTTAAGTTAGGAACCCACACATCGTTCCTTCTACAGCATTCTTTCAGCCAGCGTAGATTCAAGAAGTGGAAAACTAGACTCTGCCTTTTGATGGGATGAGGTGCAGGATCACATCATGAAAGACCGGGTTCAGGGAAGATGGAGAAGTAGGGCATTTTTGTGGTCCATCTACCACTGTCATTTATTATTACTCTCTCTGACACAGGGGAAGTCTCTTCACTCCTCTGATCTTCCTCACCTGGGCTGGCTGAAAGAATGTTGTAGAAGGGATGATGTGTGGGCTTCTCACCTAAGCACCAGGAGACAAGTACCTCATAAAAGTATCATTGGTAATTCGGTGTTGGTGATTAAAATGTGGGGCCCTGGAAAGTGGTGCTGGCATTTTTTTTTTTATTTAGTCCAGGGAAGCACTGGAATCCATGAAGTGCCCTCAAGGGCAAGCCTCAGAGTAGAGATGAGGAGTTTGCTTTTGTCCTCAAAGTTGCAAGATCCACTGAAGAGTCTCAAGTGACGAAATGCTTGTGTGACCAGGCAGTCTGTGGTGGGGCTGCGTTTGCCCTTTATTCCAGAACCAGAAGGGACGGTGGAGATTGTTTTTTTTTTGATCCCTTCACTTTCTGGCTGTCAGAGACACTGAGTGTCTGCCCAGTCCACACAAGTGGTTAGCAGCAAGAGAATCGGTGGGAACTAAAGGCCCAAGTGAAAGCTCTGTGTTCTCGGGTTAGCTCCTGGGCATTCTTCCTCTCTTACATTCATTTTCTGTCATTTCTGTTCCTATTTTCTCTTCATCTCACCTTTTGTTTTCTTGTTGAGCCAGCAAGCGATTCTATTTGGTGGAGGGCTCCCTCTCTGATTTCTTTTCTTTTTCCTTTGTGCAATTGTAGGAGAAGGACAGCACAGTGAGACAGCCCTCTCCTAACTCCTTCACTTCTGACTCCCTGCTTTCTCCTCCACCCTTCTGCTCTCCTCTCCTTCAACACCAGCTGTGGCAATTGGGGGAACACCCCGGTATAGGCCAGGAGTAGCCTTTGGAGTAGATCTGGTAGGTCCCCCAGCTTATTGTAACGATATCACTGCGTCAACCTACCCCAAAATTGAGTGGTTTCGAAAATAATTATTTTGTTTGCTCATAATTTCTTGGGTCAAGAATTCAACAGGGCACAGCAGGATGGCTCATCTCTGCTTTAGGGTATCTGGGGCCTCGGCCAGATGCCAGGGAGCAGCAGGGACGGTTCACCTGGAGACAGATCTCAGCAGCTTGGTGCTCACTTTCCGGCGAGCTTCTCACTTTGTTTTCCTCACGGGGTCTCCTCATGGCTAGCTTGAGCCGCCTCACCGCATGCAGGTCTCAGCACAGTCAGACTTCGCACATGGTAACTGGCTTCTCCTCAGACAGAAAATGCAAAAAAACCCTACCGGTCTTCTAAAAGGTTAGGCCCCAAACCAGCACAGACCAGAATCAAGAGGAAGAGGAATGGGTGCTTCTTTGTGTTGGGAGAGTGGGGGGTTGGGGGAGAAGGACAGTGTGGCAGCCATCTTTGGAGACCACTCTAGTCGCAGTCAGCCTAACCACACACTTCTCTCCTCTCCCCCTCATGCCTCTGCTCACAGACCTGAATGTTGTCGTCATCGCGGTGGTGGGAGGCGTCGCCTTGCTGCTGTTTGCTCTCGGACTCATCATTTGCTGTGTGAAAAAGAGGTAGGTGGAATTTCTTAAGCTGCCTTCAGCTGATCTGACGTGTCCTTATGTCACACAGACCAGTTATCATTAATTATTGACTTTTTTCTTGCTTCTCATTTCTTCCCTGAAGAGCAATGTGAAATAATATTGCCAGGTGTGAGTTATGCTTAGAGGAGAACAAAAAAAAAAAAACAAAAAAAAACCTCATACCCCACAGTAAGGGGATGAAAAACCACATGTGCTGCCATATTAGCCTGTGGTTTGGGCATAGCTGCCCTACCTGTGTGTGGCGCAGGTGCCCTGGGAGCTGCTTACTGTCTGCTCAGGAGATGGTGAGCCTTACAGGGGCCATCTGAGCTGGAGACTCCCATAGATCAGGCCTCTGGACCCGCTGTCATCTTGTTCTCCAGTTTCTAAACAAACTGTGTGTTTTATGCTTGTTTATTGGACTCCAAACAATCACCCAAAAGCCAGCCCTGTGGGCGAGAGGAAGACAGACCCAGTTAACTGACTCAGCCTCACCTTCCACCCCCTCAAGATGACAGCATCTGTTTTATGAAAGGCAAGTGTTGACCTTTTTAGACAGAGCACACACTGCCTCCAGATTTTATCAGTTCTGCTCATATTTCTGATTAAATCCACAAAGGAGAGGGATATGTGTTTTCCTTAGCATGATTTAACATTCCAAAGAGCCAAAAAAGATTTTTTTTATTGACTGGGACTGTGAGCAAACAGCTGAAATTCCTGATCAGCATTGAGACGACCTAGAAACATCTCTACTGGTAAGGAAGGACCTGCTCCCAGAAGATCCAGGGAGAGGCTTCTCCATGAAATGAGAATGTACAGATATTGCAAAGGGGAAAGGACTTCTTTTAACAAAATATCATTTTATTGTTTCTCTGGGGAATTTTGCATTTCTGGGGTGCCAAGATGGGAAAGCACTGTACTGACCCTGAACCCTAGCTTCCCCATCAGAAAGGGCTTGGGCACAGGGAAGATCTAAACTACCCCTAAACTACTCCAGCCCTGGCCTGAGAATCACCAGCCCCAGCCTTGCTGTGGAGGAGGCCACCAGCTGCAGGTTTGCAGAAGGCCTGTCTGTTCCCAGGTTGGAGTCAGGGGTGACAGGCTCTACAGGGAGAATGAACTGGTTCACCAAGCATGTATCGCCAAGAGTCTGCCGGGCACTAAGAACCATGTGAGGTGCTAGAGAGATGGCAGGAACAAGACCTTGTCTCTATTCCCTCTGCCCGTGGTGGTAGGGGGCGGTTTCTGGGCAACATGAGAAGAGCTTTGGTTGGACAATCCCAGCACTGGGGGAGCACAGCGAGGGGCGATCCAGCACAGGGTTTCAGAGGGAGCCTGCAGAACCCACCATCCTGGCCAGAGCATCAGTGTTACAAGCTAAATGTACTAGATTTATTTTTATCTCAGAAAGTACAGAGTGCCTGTCCACAATTAGTGAGCCTTCAGCCTGTGCATTATATGGTCCATTATGTTAATTGAGCTATAACGTCCTCCATTTGAATCTCTGGTCAGCTAAAAAGTCAGCCTCCCCTGCTGTTCGGCTCAGGGAGAAGGAGGGCAAAGCTTTGTTTTCCGTGGCAAGGAGTGCTAATATCTGCCAGCGTCCGAGGACCAGGAAACATTACCAACCAAATGGTAATGGTGTTATTGAGTGCCCCAGCCTGAATTCTGCCTTCTTTTGAGGTCTTTCCTCTGTTGGAGGTCACTGCCAAAGGAACTGGATCCCTCTACTAAAGCTCAGTTCTACTGGCCTCCAGCCCCAGCTGAAAACTAACACACCCCTCCATCCGAGTCTCCTCTATTATCATTTAGCATCCAGATGGGCAAGATCTTCCTCGTGCCAAAGAGGGATGAAGCATTAGCTTGAGGAAAGTACTAAGAGACACCTAGCAGGGTGGCCTGTGCCTGATGTGGTAGGCTGGGCCACCTCTCGTTTCGTAGAAAAGAGGGCTTGCCAGATGTCTCCAGGTTGGGTACCTTGCAGCAGTGATCACAGCAACTTGGAGCATAGATAGTATTAAAGGTGTGCTCTGTAATCTACTCTGGGGGTCCCTCCTCCCTTCCTCCAAACACGGGAGACAGAAGCTAGTCTTTTCTAAACCTACAACCAGAACAGCAATATCAATTGCAAATGGTGAGAGCCCCTGAAGGTGTCTTATTCCAGTGGAGATGTGAGGTTGTTATACATCTCAGATGGCCTTCCTCCTGACTCCCGTCTTGTTCCCTTTCTCCCAGCAGGAAAAAGAATATAAACAAAGGCCTGACCGTGGGTGTCTACAATGACAACATCAATACCCAGATGCCCATGCAGCCCAATAAGTTTCAGAAAGGACGCAAAGACAACGAATCCCACGTGTATGATGTCATCGAGGACACAATGGTATATGGGCACCTGCTCCAGAATTCCAATGGGTCCTTCCACCAGCCGGAGGTGGCCACCTACCAGCCCTTCCAGGGTTCCACAGGGAACTGCCCTCCCTCCCCACCCCCCATATGCTCCAGGGCCCCAACTAAAAAGTTGACCCCAGATGAGCCATCCTCTGACTTTCCTCCCGAGTCTGAGAGTGAACCTTACACCTTTTCCCACCCCAGCCAAGTGGACAGAAGCAATGAGAACACCGACATTCCCTTGCTGAGTGCCCAGGAGCCAGAAAAATCTGCAAAATAACATGAACCCATCCCAAAGATTTTGCGTAATGTGGGGCACTGAGACACATTTTAGGGTTCCTAACCAGGAATCCTAAAGAGGAGGAACTGTATGGGACGGAACAGCAGGAGGGTTTCCTGGATACTACCAACTTCTCATTCCCAGGTGAACTTGTCCTGATGGTGACAATGTTGGATTCTGATCTGGATACAATCATCACAGCTCATGTCCTTCCAAACTCAGGTTGGGTTGTAAACTGGCCCGTATTGAGAAGGGAGACGTGCCAGTCATCCAGTGCAGGGTTGCAGCAGGCCCTCGATTTGGATCTGGATTGGACCGCTTCAGGTAGACAGTTCTAATTCCTAGGAGGCCTCACCGAAGGTCCCTACTGTCACTGGGGTCCCCTGGCTGAAACGACCTTGTGCTTTTTTATTACGATTATTTATTTGGTGGTCCTGTGTGTTGAAGAAGTTGGATATATAACCACACAGCTCTTTTCATCTGACATGGTGACAACTCACACTGACTGGTTGGCTGGCTGGGTTTTGAATTCTGACAACCACCAGATAAACAAATGTTTGTCCTCTTGGAGATGGAAATAATTTGCAAACTGTCCAGCCAGAAAAGGATATTTGTGTTTGAGCCGCACTGAAACTTACCTACTTTGGCAGGAGATGCCTGGTCTCTGGCTCTGCATGTAGGGATCCTACCGCAGAGCCTCATCTTGAACCCCATTGTCTTACGGCCTCGAAATAAGAGGAATGTCCTTAAACTGCCATGAGGAACTCTCCCAGATGTGGCAATAATTTGGCATTTAAATAGAAATTTAGAAAGTATTTTCATCCTCTAAAAATGTTTTAAAGTATACCAGAGGAGCCACCTGTATTACTTTACTATTCTTCTGTAGCAAATTATCACACATTTGGTGGCTTAAAACAACACACATTTCTGATTATGTGGTTCTGGAGATCAGAAGTGCAAAATGGGTTTCATTCAGCTAAAATCAAGCTGTCCCCAGAGCTGAGCTCCCTCTAAGAGGCTCCGGAAAGAATCTACTTCCTCACCTTCCCAGTTTCTCGAGGCTGTGTGCTTCCTGTGGCTCCAATGGCTGGTCACATGGTGGCACTGGCTTGCTTCTCTAGCTTCCCTCTTTCACTTCTGAGAACCTTTACTTATAAAGCCCTCCCATATAATACAGGATAATCTCCCCAACTCTTGGGATGTGGCCATCTTTGGAGAGCCATCATTTTGCCTACCACACCATCCTACCACTACAGGAAGGGCTACAAAATGTTCCAGCCTGCCGGTATATTTTGGTTAACCTGCAACAAATTTTAACTCTTTTTTGAAAATGAGTTACTAATACTTAAAATTATAAAATTTCTATGTAAAATTCCAGACCAGAATATCTGGTCATACTGGGGCTCACACTCTTACCTGGCAATAACCATCTCCACTTTTACATTGGGCATCACCAGTTCACCACAGTCTCCACCACTCCCTGTAGCCTCCCACACTGAGGCTGAGTGTCTATTGCTACTGATCAAGGCCACTGTAGGGCTGCTTTTTTTTGCAATGAAATGGAAAGTTTAGGACCCATATTATCAAATGAGGAGGGGGACCTCAAAGCTGGTGTGTTTCAGAAAGATTTTTCCCTTACACATGGCACACTTTCCTCATTTATACTAATTACCAGCTCAGCTCCTTGGGCATTTGCCTGTGTGGCCCCTGCTCTCATCTGGAAGGAAAGAGATTGTGTTGTGACTTGACAGCACTGTCCAGTATTTCTGTGACAGAACCTTCTTTTAAAAATAAATGTCCTTCAGTTGTTCAGTGACTTCACCTTGGATCACACAGCCTCGACTGGCTCTCAGACTTCCATGCCTCCAAAGAAGAGTTTTGCCATCTCCTCTATGGTGCATATACTCTTTCCAGAAGGAAGAATTTGTTCGTTTGGGGTTTGTTTTTGTTTTTGTAATGTCCTTGGTGCTACAAATCGCACCTTTCCTTGCTGAAAGATTCACTCCTGCCCAGTTACTATAACCTCTTGGGCCCAGGTGCTGGCAAACCCCCTCCATGAAGGGCCCGAGGAGGGTGGTGGCTTCCCTCCCTCAGCTGAAATTATATTCTTGGTTGAAGTCACCGTTGGAGCCCTGGAACTCCATTCTCTGCCTTCCCAGACCTCCTGGCCTCTCCTGAGTTTCCTCAGCCTGTGCTCTGCCTTCTTCCCGTGGAATGGCTGGCCATCTTGGGGCCTGAACACCATCATATACATCACCTTTATCAACCAAGACCCCCCCATTATCTTTTAATTGACAGCTCAAACTCCAGGCCACGCTGCTATCTTCCTGAGACCTCAGGTGGATGTAATATTTTCTGAAGATGTGCCTCCTTGAACAGGCTTAGCCCAATATACCTCTAGCTCTTTCCTTGGAAGCCCAGGCCCCATTTATGTAAAATATTTCAGGAAACCAGTCAAGCATAGCTGTTGAAGCCTGCTGTGTGCCAGCACAGTGCTCTCCACACTGGGTCTGCTGATACCCAGGCTATCTTCGTCCCTCTGCTGTGCCGACATGGAAGCTCCTGCAGGACTGAGCTCAACATCCAGGGTCTCTTTGCACAAGAGGGGGAAGTCTTAAGGACGCATCAAGGAGAAAAAACCTAAGTCCATGGACAGAGCCTTGTGGGGGTTAGAAGAAAGTTCTGTATGGATCTCAATGCTTAAATGGAAGTAATTTATTCGTTGTAGATACATTTTTGGTAGCATTTTATTCATTTCCTACAGGTTTTTTTTTTTAATAAACAAGTATATACAAAAAATGCGCACCAGTAGTTTGATGCTTGGCCTGCTTGTTGCGGGTTCAGCAGAAACTCCAGTTTCCTGCTGACTGAGATGATGAACCTGGGCTTAGCAGATGCTGCCTTCTCCATGTTTATGGTCCAGGAAGCCCTACCTTGGGCTACCAATGGGTAACTCAGGTCAGAGCAACTCAACTAAAATCCACTTTCCAAATAGTATCACACAATTAGTGCTGGCGACTGGCCAGGAGCTCTGATTCCTTGTCACACACTAGGACTTTTGGGGCTTCTTACAGTGTGGTGATGGGGTTCCCAGACAGTGTTCCCAGAGTCAAAAAGTTGGAGCTGCCAACAACTTGAGGCCTGGTCTGGGAACTGGCACAGAGCCATCTCCATTCTGTCCTGGGGCACATCTGTCACAGAGGCTGTCCAGGTTTAGGGGGAGGGAGCAAGCCCCAGCACCTCAGTGGAAGAGGTATCAAAAGAATGTTTGTTCACCTTTAATGTGCTGGAGTATAACCGGATTTTCATGGTCAAATGCCCAGCCTTGGACAGCACTGACCCATGCCTTTTCCCTTAATCACTAGATGTCCAGATCTGGGCCATATCCCACCTCTCTGTTTGCCTCTTTTTGGGCCTCAAGCCTCAGTCTTGGGCCTTCTGACCCTCTCCCATGGGGGTCCAGCTGTGTCCTCTATAACAGTAGGGCCCTAAATCTTAGCCAATAACTGCCTGGGTGCCAGGCCCATATTTTCAGCACTTAGTAGACTGATCAGTTCATCTATCTAAGTGGTACCCCAAACCCAATTCATTCTCACTTCACCCTAAGCCCTCCCCCCGCTTTAAAGGGAGTTCATTTCCTGACTCTGCCCCTAGCAAGTAGTGTGGCCTGGAATTGGCTTCTCTCAAATCCCTCTGTACAAGAGTAAATCTAAGGTTACTTCCTTCTCTAAAATATTTTGACTCCTCCAGTCACCCAAGCCCAGAATATGGGACCCAACTTGGGTTCATCCCTGTCACTCATCCTGAATGTTCCAGATTCTTCAACCTGCTCCTCTTCGTCAGTCCTTATTCATTGTATAACTCCCTCGCTCTGAAATCTGTGCTTCCAGAATTGTCCCTCACAACAAAATCCTCCATCTCCTGCCAAGGCACAGCACCTCCAGTTTGCCATTGGTCATCCCTGCCTCTCCAGGTACTATGTGGCTAGTGTGAAGGGCAGAGCCTTTCATACACAAAGGAATAGGAAGTGGCTTTTCTTCAGAAAAACTGGAGTTTTGAGTTCCTGCTGGTGTCTCCCCTCCTCTGGGGAGCCTCTCCCCGCTCTGCATATACAGCCAGGTTAGTTACTTCTGTTTATATAGTCTGGATCATTTGCTGATAAGGTCCAGGCTCTGCTATCAGTGAAAACAAACCTTAAAGAAAAAGGTATGTTTTTTTCCCTCTCCTGTACTTTAAGGTATCAGGCCAATTTAACCATTAGCTCAGGTTTCAGCATCAGAGTTTTATCCCAACATGCTCAAAATCCTCTGGGCGCAGCACAGGCACTCCTGCCCATATCTTTGCTCATTCCACTGTATCTGGACATCTCCCGCCTGGCCAGAAGCTGCCCTTTCTCCCACCTCACTACCAGTGAAAATCTGACAGTGCTTCAGAGTCTAACACTTCCTCCAGGAAGCCCTCCCCTCCCACCCAACTCCCCTAAATGCCGGTAGTCCTTATGATCCGTAACACTGCACTTAGAATCATTAATTTCTTTATTTACTCGCAGCAAGTGCTTCCAGTATAATGTAGCAAATCACATTTGATTACATGGCTGGATTCTCCTCATTCAGACATTTATGCATCCAGCTAATTTTCTTTTCTCATGTCTTTTTTTTTGGTGGGACCCTTGCCAGCGGCCAGGGAACAACCAGGCGCTGTAGAGGCTACGGGCAGCCTCTCAGCCCAGCGCTCAACTGCTGCGCCACCAGGGGAGGCCCTTCTCATGTCTTACCAATTTAAGAGACTCTGAAGAGGTGTTCCTTCATCCCATCACTCTTCTTAGATTCCACTCTAAAAGTCACTGTGTGTTTTAAATAATTTTACCTTATCTTTATGTGCTAACCAAATGCCTCTATTAAAAAATATTGAAAAAAAAGATGCTGAGTATCATTTACCATTTATGATTTTTTTTCAAAAATGAAAATAAGCATTTTTTGGCAGGCTTCAAATAAGGCCAATCTATAATACAAATGCAGCCCATTGTAACACAATAAAAAGAGCTTGAATCTATCAGTAACACAGTGTTTTGTTTACATAATGGGCATTAACTAGCCTCAAAGTACAACTTGTCACTGAAAGTCTAAGGATATGACAAAGAGCAGTAGTCACCAAGGAGACTTGAATGAGCTCATTTGGACAATGAACAAGCTAATTGGAACTGTTCATCCATATGGAAGCTTACATCATATTACAGAGTTCATCTTTATTCCCCCCATTTTGAGCAGGGCCTGAGTGTTGGAACTGAAGGCCTCTTTAAGCCTTGCTTGAGTGCAATAGTTGTCCTCTGACTTGGGTGGAAAAGAAGGTTTCTATACGTTTTCTGTTCTGCTCCATCTAGTGCCCCATTCCATGGGCCAGAGTCTGTCTGATTTCTCACACCTGTGTCCAAGTTTCCTAGTGTCTTTACATCAAATGCAAATTCCTGAGCCCCACACAAAACTACAGAGTCAAGATCTCAAAAACAGCAATCCAAACATTCTCAACAAGCTTCCCAGTCTTCAACTAACTGGCTGAGACTTTCATTCAAAAAGATAGGTCAGAGGTGACTCGTACATTCCAGCTGCTATAACAAAATGAAGTCTAGCTTGTCCATAATATCTTTTATGGATTATGCCTATGGTGTCATATCTAAAAAGTTGTCACCATAGCCAAATTCATCTAGGTTCACTTTTGTAAAAGGTATAAGGCCTATGTCTCAATTGAGGGTAGTTTTCTCACTTTTATTATTCCCAGTAATTTCATTTTTATGTATTTATTAGAGTTTTTAAACCTTAGTGAAAACTAAGAAGCAGGCAATTATGAACTGTCATATATCACCATTCTACAGAAGATTAGTAAATCTGTTAAGATGCCATTTCATAATTTCTAGAGATATAAGTTTTCTCACAGTACAATTATCTTGGACATGGTTCCTAATAAACCCAAATATCTTTAGTCTCTCTGTAAAAATTGCATAGCCAAAGGTAGATGAATTTAAATTTATGTTTAGCAATTAGTGATGCAGAAATTTATGTTATCTGGAAATCATCTAGATAGTCAGCGAATATACATCATTTGACTTAGTATAGGTTTAAGGTCTCAAGTTACCAAAGAAAATGGAGAAATATTTTTAAGCAGATATTTTGAAATACACTTATTTGTTGAAAAGCTCATTTATAAACTTCATCCCTCTTACCTACTTTTAATCCACTTGTTCCTAAGAATTATGCTTGGGCCATTGATAAAAATTTCATGAGACATGTAAAAGCTAGCTACTATCTTATTTTTTTTTTGTTGATAAATAAGGCAAGTATCTAAAAAACGTACTGTAAAGAACCCAAAAGTTATAATCTATAGCTCTCCTTTTTTGTTGTTTTTATTGCCTTGTTCAACATACATCAATTTTTGTTTATTTTGTTCTCAGATTAATCATTTTATAAGTCTAGAATCTAGTATAATTAATATAAGTATATTTGACTAGCAAACCCAGATAGAATAAAACTGTATGTCTGCATTTTACTTATTTATTTATTTAAGATTTGTTTATTTATTTATATAAGCACTGGGTACAGTCAGAAGCACGGGAGGGTGAGAGAATTCACCAGAGCCAGAGCGGGGAGCAGAGCAGGCAGAAGGACCGAAGTACACTGCTGAGGGGAGCAGCGGGCGGCAGGAGAGGTCTGCGCGCCATGTGGGACCCTCCTCCAGTGGCCCGAGAGCAGCTGGGAATCAAACTGGCGCTGCAGAGGCTGCAGGCAACTTCGCAACCCAGCGTTCAACCACTGCGCCACCGGGGAGGCCCTGTCTGCATTATATTTAATGTTACAAGTCTGAAGACATGTCTGTTTTACTGAACCAACAATGTTAAGCTACCTTTATTTAACCAAAGATTATCCATGTTAACTTGGAGACAAAATTAGATTAATTTCTATTTCAAAAGTGTTTTAGGGATACTGAATTTATATAAGCACTCATTTTTGAAAAAATTAAAGCAGAACTGTTTTACAAGATGAGTTCATTTTGAGAATATCCTCTAGAGGTAGGGAGAGAAAAAAAGCTGCTACTGTGCGGTGGCAGCTATGTGATCCAGTTAAGCAACCTAACTTTCCTGGGCCAAAACATCCTCAACTGTAAAACTTCCTCAACTGCTGCTGCCCAGGAGGCCCATCTGCAGGTTAATTTTCACAGATCTTTGGTGTCAGTGATGGTGAACTAATTATACCTTCTCGTGCCATTTGTGAAGCAAAAGGTGATTGGGAGGATGGGGAGAGATGGAATATATGACAATGTCTGCATTTAATAGCCACTCTTAGTTAAGTTTCTGCTAAAGAAGGAAAACATTGCCAACAGTCTGCTTATTTTGGCTTGGACTCATCTCTAGTGAGCTGGTTGTCTCTTCCTGTGAGTTGACAGTTCTCTAGCTAATTGTGTCGAATTTGAAGACACCATTCTCATCTCCAAACTCATTGCACTGTCAGCTCCAGCAAGCTGGCACATGATCCCACAGAATTTGTGGAGCCCTGGGAAGAGAAGTTCCTGAGAGAAGCATCACAGAGCAAACCGTGTGGGCACAGCAACCAGGGAACCAGGAACGGTGGTGTCTCGTTTTGTAAGACACAGCAATGGGATAAGCTGTTTGGCTGCCTATGTCCATGGCAGCGCTGGGGGTTTTGGTCTGCCTGATCAGGGAGCCAGATCAGAGGTGACTCAGGAGGGCCTGGATCGCCATTGAGAGAGGCCGTGGGGTACAGCATTCAGCACTGC